TACTCTTAAACTAAATCTTCTTCCAATTAATAATTGTCCGACTAAATTCATTTTTTCTACTTGTTCCCCTTGATTTTTGTCTGACTAAAATTCCTTGTTCTACTTTGAGGACAAATTATACACCAAGTGCTTATTGTCTTTTTGAAATAACACTTTCTACTTCCATACTCAATCTTTTCTAAGCTGATTATTGTCTGACTGATATTATTTTTTCTACTCTAAAATTGTACTTTTTACCAAGTCATTAATGTCTGACTAAAATTATTTGTACTACTTTGACACTAAATTTTCTACCACTTTTTCTAATTTTGATAAGCAAATTTTCTAGGAATCATTTTCACTGTCTGACTAAAAGTACCTTTTCTACTTGGAAACAAAAATTTCTATGAATCATTTTTACTGTCTGGCTAGAATTACTTTTTCTACTTGGCGAACACTTTGGGACGAAGTTTATTGTCTGACAAAAAATGCCCTTTTCTACTTCCGGTTTAATTCATGGTTCAATTTTTTTTTTCTTCAACCTTGACACTGACAATATTGACACTGCTTCTAGTTCGTGCCTGAATTTCTTCTGCGATGATTATTGTCTGACTAAAACTAGACCTTCTACTGGTTTTCTAAATATTTTCTAATTAATTATTGTTCTTTGAATAAAACTATTTTTTGAACTTTGAGAAGTTTTCCTCGTTATATTTCTAGTTTAATTGTTGTCTCATTGGTAGTTTATTGTTTCTCCTTAATGCCTGAATTTTTTTTATTAGCTCCACTTTTTACATTCGTGGAGATTTCAACGCCACGTTTTCTACTATAAAACCGTTAAAAATGTCTTGAAATAAAGAAATATTTATTTTAAGTATATTTAATATTTATTAGTTATTGTTATTTATTTAATGCTCTAATTTCAACATTCTAATATTTAATAATTAATAACGATTTTGAATAATTTTCATTTATCTAAAATATTTTTTTAATAATTTACTATTTGTTAGTCGATTTGAAAAAATATTTTCCTATTTTTTTATTTCTCTTTTCATTCTAATTTTATCTTTTGACTTCTAAAGGAAAAATACAATTTCCTTTCGCAAAGAGAGAAATCGAAAATCCAAAGAAAGAATCATAATATTTCTTATGATTTTTTGTCCGATGAATTCTTTTGTTTCCCGAAGGGAGAGCACATCAAGTGTATATAGTGTGTACAATATATAGAAAAGGAAGGAAATTGACGCTTAACAATCGAGCATCAGTGGAAATATATATAGACCGAGAGAAAATAGATGAAAAAGAAGAAGAGTAGGAAGAAGAATCTGAAATCGGACAAGTATATAAGGGGGTTGAAAATCGAACGGGAATCGCAAAGATTCTTGGGCACAGTATAGCTATATAGAGAGAGAAACGTGGTGTGGAGATAAGTTTTTACGGTAGGGTTACTAACTTACGGACTCGGTATTGTTGAATTTCCAGTGACGGGAGGACAATGCGCCTTCGGGACACAATGCTTCGCACTCTGAAATCTGAAGTCAGCCTTGACTGGCAACCTGCACCCCCGCCCCTCCACTTTCCGATTTCTATTCCATACTACACGACTGATATCCACGAATATTCTTCGCGAGTCACTCTCAATAATAATTTACCATATAAACATTTTCCAGTGACATTCTTTTCATACATCTTTTTTAAATTGATCAAATTTTGATGATTTAAAAAAAACATTTCTTCCTTTTGCGTAAAAGTTGACTCAACTAGGATGATATGAAACTTTTTTATTTATTTATTTTTTTTTTGACACAAAAAAGTTGAAAGTTAAAAATTAAAATTAAAAGCCACAAAAATTAAAAGTACTGGAAAAAAATTAATTTTTAGAATTCATAAAAAAATTCTGAGTTTTGGTGCGTCTATTTTGTTTGCCTCATAAACTATGAAAGTACCACGAATTCTAATAGAATTCCTTCAATTTTTTCTATTTCTGATAAAAATTTCTTTTTAAATAATACTTAATTCTTTAAGAATTATCATAAAATTATTACTTATAATATTTATTTAATGAATAATTTTACTCAAATATTTCAAAGTTAATTCAATTTTAAAAGAGTTATGTTTACAATTTTCATACCTAGATGAACTTCAAAAGGTTTTAATGTTAAATTTTATAAGAAATTTTCTGCAATTTTGAGTGAATTTAGGTAATTAGAAATTTTAAAGAACTTAGATTTTTGAAAAATTTTAATAATTCGAATTCTTATGAAATTAGTTAAATTTGTAAACATTATATCTAATTAATTATTAATAATAATGGATTTATAGAAGAATATTAGTTGAAAACAGAAAACAAAATTGAATTTTGAAATTACAAATGATTGCAGAAATTCAATTATTTAAAAAAAAAAAATAATATTCTTCGCAAAAATTAAATTATGTTCACAAATTTAAAAAAGTTCTTATCAAAATGTCAATTATCTTAATGATTAGTAAAATTCTTCTCCGAAATTCAATTATTTTCAAAAATTTAAATAAAATTCCTGGCAAAATTTCAATTATTTTTAAAAATTATCTTCAATTCAATGGTTTTTGCAATTTCTACTATTTTAATAAAATTTTCCAAAAGAATTCAATTATTTAAAAAAAAATTAATAAAATTCTACGCAAACCTTTAATTATTTTTATAAAATAATAAAAATTTTACAGAAATTCAATTATTTAGAAATTTTTTATAAATTTATTCGCAACAATTCAATTATTTTTATAAATAATAAAATTTTTACAAGGATTAAATTATTTTCGTAAATAATGAAATTCTTCTTAAGGATTTAATTATTTTCACAAATAATAAAACTCATCGCAGAATTTCAATTATTTTTAATATACAATTTTAATCAAATTTCTCGAAAAATATAATTGTTTTTAAAAATTTTATTAAAATAGGTCAAAAGAATTCAATTATTTAAAAATTTATTGATAAAATTCTATATGAGAATTCAACTTTAAGAAACTTTCAACTTTGAAAAGGTTTCAAATTAAAATCTTTAAAAATCTGAATTTTTTTCATATTTTTAACTAATAATTCTGTGGAATTAATTTTTTTGAGTAAGTTTAATTGTGGATTTAAAAAAAAAATTATTTAAAGTTTCTATTTTATAATTTATATTTAATTGAAGAATTTAAGAATAATTGAAATTTTTTAAAATTGAATTGTAAACAAATTGATTTGAAAATTTTCAAAGAACGTTTTCAAAAATTATTATAAAAATAGTGGATTTATAGAAGGTGTTTAATATTAAAAACACGAAAAAAATTTAATTTTGGAAAAGTTAAAAATTATTGCAGGAACTTAATTATTTTCAAGACTAATAAATTTTCTTCGCAAAAATTAAATATTGTACAAAAATAATAAAGTTCTTCTTAGGAATTCAATTACATTCATAAACAATAAAACTCATATCGTAGAATTTAAATTATTTTTAATATAATTTTAATCGAATTCCTTGAAAAATGTAATTATATTCTTAGGAATTTCATTAAAATTCGTCAAAAGAATTCAAATATTTAAAAATTTGTTTATACAATTCTTTATTGGAATTCAATTTTCAAAAACTATCTATTAAAACAGATTATTTTTATTTTATTAAAAATAGTTTTATTTATTATAACTATATAAATTATTGATTTTTATATTTAAATAATCGATTTCTCGTAGACTTTTTTTTTTACGAAAATTGATTTAAAAATGAATTTCAGTTAAAATTTTAAATAAAAATTGAATATTAAAAGCATTATAGCGTGAATTTTTAGAAAATAATTGAATTTTGACAAGGATTCAAATTGAAATTTTTAAAAATCTGAATTTTTTATACTTTTAACTAACAATTATGTAGGTATAGAATTAATTTTTTTGAAAAAGTTTAATTGGATTTTTTTTTCTATTTGAAGATTTTATTTTCTAATATATATTTAATTGAAGAATTTCAGAATAATTGAAACTTCATAAAATTGAAATGTAAACAAATGAATTTGGAAATTCTCAAAGAACTTTTTCAAAAATTATTAAAAATAATTAATTTAAAGAAGAATTTTAGTTAAAAATTTTTTTAAAAAATTGAATTGAAATGAGGATAATTTTTATGAAGTTACAGTAACATTATTCTTGTGTAATATAAAATAATAATTTCATCAGTTGGTCATCTTTAATTATTTATTATAAAACAAGAAGATATCGATTGCTCCGAGTCGAAGACTCGGAGTGATCGATTTCTTCTTGTTTTAAATAACAATTTTTTAAAAATTGTTTAATTTCAAAAATATTTGAATTACATACAAATTTTTGAAAATCTAAATTTCTATGGAAAAATAATAATGACTAAATATTTATTTAAAAAAAGTGAAAGAAATGACGATTTTTAATTTCTATTACTATTTAATAATATAGAGAACCAACTTATATTGCAATTTATTAAATAATTTATTTAACCAATTTTCTAATAAACAAAAAAAATATTTAGAATTATTAAAAAGATTTTTTTACATTTCGTAAATATTTTTCAAAAATAGTTTGAAGAACACAAGAAAAATTTTGGAAGATTTAAAAATAATAGAAACAAAATTAATAACAAATTTTTTTTCATAATCAGCGCCTGAATATTTATATTTGAAGTAAATTTTAATATTTTTTTACTAAATAAATTTCTTAGTTTGTAATTAGAAAAAAAAATCTATTAATAATAGTGTATTGAATAATTTATTTAATCAATTTTTTGATATTTTAAAAATTTAAACCGAATTGTTAAAAATTGTAGAAAATATTTTCATATTTTCCGTAAATATTTTCTAATAGTTTTCAAAAAATAAAATAAAAAAATTCGATGCACTTGAAATAAAATAATAATAAAATGAAACTAATAAAAAAATTTTTTGATAAAAAGAGTCATTTGGGAGTGATATTAATTATTATAAAAAAAAATGATAATTTTAATAGACGGATATGTGACTTTACTGAATGTGATAAAAGTCAGTAGGCGGAGAATTGTCGTAGTTATTAAAATACAAATCTATAAAAAACATTCCACATACTCAGTTACTTTCAAACTTTTAAAGATTTCTTCTCGTTCTCATATACTGAAAATAATTGTTCGAAATAAAAAGACTAGAAAAAAATTACATATAAGAAATTGACAATAAGAAGGATTGAAATTATCAATAATAAAATAATAAAAATTGTGCCAACAATAAAAAAAATACTATTAATAATAATAAAATAGAAATTAATATTATTATTAAGAAGAATGCACCTGATGGGAATTTTTCTACCGCTGATAATAATTCTCGGCTATTATTCACCTGCTCAAGGAAAAGTGTTGACTCAATGTGAAGCGGCGCAAGAACTTGTGAAAGGAGGAGTTTCCCGATCATTCATCAGTAATTTTGTCTGTCTAATGAAAAGCGAAAGTGGACTTGACACGAGGAAGAAAACTGGACCAAAAACAATGTCGAGCTATTGTTATGGTGTCTTTCAAATCAATAGTGCAAAATGGTGTGAGCAATCAAGAAAAGGTGGCGTTTGCAACAAGAAATGCGACGAATTCATTACTGACGACATTCAAGACGATGTGGCATGTGCGAAAATGATTCATTCGCAGGAGGGTTTCAATCATTGGCCCGGATGGGTCAAGGATTGTAAAAATAAAGCTCTTCCCGATCTGTCAGGCTGCAAATATTGATCTTTTCTTGTATACTTAATTATTATATACTAATTAATTCATTAAATTAATAAAATAATAAAGTTAATTAATTATTTAACTAATTTTTCTATTTGATTCTTTTATTTTATTAATATTCCTTTCATAAATGGTTATTGTTTCCAAACCACTAGTTTAAAAGTTTTATTTTACTATTTTTTATTTTTTTTACCAAAAATATCAATTTTAAATACATTTTTATCATGAATTATTATTAAATTATATTTTCTCAGGGCTAGGACTAGGTCCGTAAATCCCGTAAATGTCGGTAAATTTGTTTGAAGTCCGAAAAAGTCAGTTTTTTGAAAAAAAACGCCCGTAAAGTCCGTAATTTGTTTAAATTTAATTTTATTAAAAACACTAAAAAAAATGAATTTTGGAGAAATTACAAATGATATCAGAAATTCAATTATTTTCAAAACCAATAAAATTCATCGCAGAAATTCAATTATGTTCAAAAACTTTTAAAAATTCTCATTAAAATTTTAATTATCTTTGTAAATAATAAAATTCTTCTTCAGAAATTCAATTATTTTAAAAAAAAATTGAATTAAATTCTTGGCAAAGTTTCAATTACTTTAAAAATTTTTCCTCAATTCAATAATTTTCAATATCTACTTACTTTAATAAAATTTTCCAAAAGATTCCAATTATTTAAAAATTTTTTTATAAATTTCTACTCAAATATTTAATTATTTTCATAAATAATAATAATTTCACAGAATTAAATTAATTTGCAAATTCTTTAGGCATTTCTTCGCAATAATTTAATTATTATTTTGAAAATCACATAATTTGTACACAGGCTTCGTACTCGATAATTGGTTTTAAAAAAGTAGCGAAATGTAGCTTTAAGACAGAAAAAAGTAGTCAACAAGCTATAGCTATAGAAAAATTAAATTTTCAATTTAATTATTATTATATGTAATAAAATTTTCTACAGGAATTCAATTATTTTCAAAAATTCTCAAACACATTGCAAAATTTCAATTATTTAAAAAAATAATCAAATTCTTTGCAGAAATTCAATTATGTTTAAAAATTAAAAAACAAATTCTCGTCAAAATTTCAATTATCTTTAGAAATAATTAAATTCTTCTCCGTAATTCAATTCTTTTGAAAAAATTTAATAAAATTCATGGCAAACCTTTCAATTTCTTTATAAAATAATAAAAATTTCGCAGACATTCAATTATTTACAAATTTTTTTTATAAATTTCCTCGCAATCATTCAATTATTTTTATAAAAAATAAAATTTTTACATGGATTCAATTATTTTTGTAAATAATAAAATTCTTTTAAGGAATTTAATTATTTTTACAAATAATAAAACTCATTGCAGAATTTCAATTATTTTTAATATAATTTTAATCAAATTCCTCGAAAAATGTAATTGTTTTTAAAAATTTTATTAAAATTCATCAAAAGAATTCAATTACTTAAAAATTTTATTAAAATTCGTCAAAAGAATTCAATTACTTAAAAATTTATTGATAAATTTATATGAGAATTTAAGTTTAAGAAACATTCATTTTTGAAAATTTTTTAAATTAAAATCTTTCGAAATTTGAATTTTTCATATTTTTAACTAACAATTCTGTGGAATTAATTTTTTTGAAAAAGTTTAATTGCGGATTTTTAATAAAATTATTTGAAGTTTTTTTTTTATAATTGTAAATTTAATTGAAGAATTCAAGAATAACTAAAATTTTGTAAAATTAAATTCACAAGAAATGAATTTAAAAATTTTCAAAGCACTTTTTCAAAAATTATTAAAAATAATGCATTTTCAGAAGAATTTTAGTTAAAACACGAAAAAAAATTTTTATTTTGGATAATTTATAAGTTATTGCAGAAATTTAATTATTTTCAAGAGTAATAACATTCTTCGCAAAAATTAAATGTTGTTTAAAAATAATAAAATTCTTCTTATTTTTTTAATACAATTTGAATAGAATTTCTCGAAGAATGTAATTATTCTTAATAATTTTATTAAAATTCGTCGAAAGAATTCAATTATTTGTAAATTTGTTAATAACGATTCTTTATGGGAATTGAATTTTAAGAAACATTCAATTATTCAATAAATTATTTATTTTTATATTCAAATAATTGTAATCTCGTTAAATTTTCTAATAAAAATTTATTTCAAACGAATTTTAGTTAAAATTTTAAATAATTGAATAATAAAAGCATTATAGCATGCATTTTAGAAAATAATTGAATTGTGCCAATAGTTTTTTTGAAAAAGTTTAATTGAATTTTTTTCATATTATTATAAGTTTTTATTTTCTAAAATTGAAGAATTTACAAATAATTGAAATTTCGTAAAATTGAATATTGCAAACAAATGGATTTGAAAATTGTCAAAGAACTTTTTTGCAAATTATTAAAAAAGAAAACATTTGAAGAAGAAATTTAGTTAAGAATTCCTGAAAATAATAATTAAATTGATAATGATTTTATCACTCGGTCATCTTTAATTATTATAAACTAATAATATTACGATTACCTAATAAAATCTTCTTTGCCTTTTTTGCATGTAAAAATATTCAAATACAAAAAATGAAAATAAATTATTCATAAAAATTCGAAAATACAAAAAAATATTTTTTAAAGAAATTGGTGTTATTTTTCGTTTTTAAAAAAATATTCAACTATTTGTCGCTTGTGCAAAATATTAATTATAATATTCTTTTTTTATTGTATTTGCTAGAAAAAAATTATTGAATTTCTTTAATTAATGTCAATATTAACAGAAGAGTCAATTTGTTAATTTATCGTCGAATGACAAATATACGAAATATTTCTACAAGTATTTAACGGAATAAATATTTATACAATAATTACTTACATATTTTATTAACAAAAATTATCTATTGTCAGAATATATAAAATCACATAAAAATTGTATCAATATAAATAAATATATTTAATTAAAAAATAAAATTATTACAATTGTAATAGTGATTTATAAACCCTTAAAATAAATAATATTTATTTTCTAATTACAAACTAAGAAACTTATTACTAAAAAATAAGGAAAGTACTTAAAACAAATATTTAAGATTGAAAACAAATATGTATCAAATAAAAGTATTTTTTCAGTATATGAGTACCGAGATAGAAATTTATGTAAAAAAGAAATATTATGTAATTTAATAATGCGCTAATTTTTAATGACGCTTTTTAATCTATTAAATTACTCAAACAAAATAATTGATTAAATTTTGCTAATAAGTACTTTCTTTCACCTTCTACACGTCTTCCAAAAATCGAAAAAATAATTTATTAAATAATTGTGGAAGGCTTAAAAAAAATATTTACCAAACTTATTTATAAAATATAGAGTTGAAAATTTATTGAAAAGTAAAAAAATAAGGAAATCTACTTATATAATAAATTATTTAAAATTAAAAAACAAATATTAAAAAAACAAACCTTGAAATTTATCTGAGCCTTAAAATATTTATCTACCTTAAAAATTTACATTTTTAGAAATTTTGTTTGTGTAAAATAAATATTGGATTTTTAAAATTTTTTTCTAAGATAGAAAAACAGCATTGTTTTTATTGTTCGATAATAAAAATTATTATTAAAAAATGCATGACTCGGGAAAAGAACGGCAAGCTTCGTCAACGGGAAACCAAAAAGCTTTTCTAGGTACAAGAATATTTTCTGCTTTCACATTTCTCTTCAACGTCCCTCGTATTCTTTTTTTCCTTTTTTTTATCACCGCGTGGACTTTTCTAGGTATAGGAGAAATAAAAAGAAAAGAGCACTAAATTATATACTTTATATATATGTATACGTGTGTCGCTCGTAATCGGCTTTGCCAAATCGAGGGTGAACATTTACTTCCGTAAGATCAATGACGCTGGGTACTTGCGGATCATGCGTGCCTAAAATATACAATTATTATTTTTCTTTCTAAAAAGGTCAAAAAAAAAAAAAATAAAAAATTTTATAAAGCAAATAAATAAATAATTCAAAATTAAGATTAAAATAAGGGGGGCTATTCAAGTATTATGTTTTTCACTCTTCCCCCTATTCTCCCTCTAAGCGCTCGTAAGATTTTTATAGACCCCTTCCCTCTTTTTTTTACGTAAGATTTCTCTTTCATTCCCCCTCCATTTTTTTCCGAAAAATTGAATTTATATAATCAAAAAGTATGGAATAATTTTATGTTTAAATTTTAAAATAATCTTACGTAAAATTCTAAATACACACCCCTCATCCTTTGCTTTAGAAAATATAATCGAATAAGAGTCACCCTCCTTCACCAAATATGCTTACGTAATACTTTAACAACCGCTTAAAAATTTTTTTTGTAACTTACTAAATTAAATTAAATTACAAACTTAATTAATTTTGTAATTTTTTCCTAAATATTTGGTTTATTAGTTTATTTACATTTATATTTTTTTTTTTAATTTTTAATATTAATAGGACGAGTACCTATTTTTGCTATATTTATTTTTTGTTCAGAAAATAATATTTCACAATGGAATTTTATTTAGAATAAAATAGTCCCAAAGGGAATTTTTTTACACCAAAAGAAATATGACTCCAAAAAGAAAATATATCCAAATCTTATTTACAAGAAAAAAAATGTGTTTCATATAATGGATTTTTTTACCAAAACAAAAATTTCGTAATGTAATTTTTTGTAACTATAATATTTGTAAATTTAAAAAAAAAATCTTAACATAGGTAACAAAAAAAAACTTTTAAAGTTGTAGAATAAAAGTTTCAATGATAAAGAAAAAAAAAATAATTATGCATTTTCTTTATTAAATTGTTAAAAAATATTTTGTATAATCTTTATCATTCTTGTCAATACACAGTCACGAGAATTATAGTATAAAAAAAGCGGAAGGTCAACTTATGTTTCATAGTGAATTTGTACTTCAATATTGTTGGTAAGAAAAAAATTAATATAATAAAAATACATTGCTTAACTTAAAAAAAAAGAAATATTTCCACAATTTCGCTTTTATAATTTTCAAAATTCTTATCAAAATTTTTACTGGCCTAAGTAAAACAAAAAAAAAATATAAAATA